ATCTTCACAAGTAACAGGTAACATCATAAGTATTGAGCAAAGCTAAACGATCAAAGCCAGTATAAACGTCCGTAGTGGATTCACTATCTGACGAATGCTTCTAGTGTATCCTCCGAAGCCGGTGCCACCATCTACAGCTCCTCAGATCTGTTCCAGCCAGTGCTATCAGACGTGAGGGAGATACAGAGACGAAGAGCCACTTACGTATTGCGAAATCCATCTGAAACCCTCTCCGTACCCCTGCCTCTGGACCACGGAGCACATGAAGATCTCAATGGGGCGAATATCGTTGAGAGGGACCTTGCCCTACAGAGCACATATGTATCAACACGAGGGATCCACAAGAAAGTCAAAAACGAGTGACACGTACCTTGCCAGTAGTCTGATACAGACCGAGATTGTGTCGGAGCTCCTCCTCGCTCACGGCACCAGGCGCGTCGATCTTGTTACCGAGAATGAGGAAAGGAACCTTGGAGAGCTCCTCAATGGAGAGCAAAGCGTCCAATTCCGCCTTGGACTCAGCGAATCGCTCGTGGTCGGCACTGTCAACCAAGAAAATGATACCGTCCACCTCGGGGAAGTAGTCACGCCAGAGACGGCGGGCTGGTGCACACGACAAGTGAAGTCTCAGCAACCCAGCTTAAAGTGAAGTGTAGCATGTTAGACGCACCTTGCTGATGTCCTCCCAAATCGTGAGTAGTAAACTTCACATTTCCAATAGCAAGCTCCTCCGAAGCTGTACATGTGTCAGAAACATCCTTCAGCCATGCCCCAAATCCGTGAACTCACTGGGGTGAAGCGTTGGCTGCAACGTGGCCAGACGGTCATTCTTCAACATGTGCAGGAGAGTCTGCAGGAAGGTTCGTTGAGAACCAGAAGCGCAACCAGCGCAAGGAGCACGCTTACCGTCTTTCCGGCATTGTCGAGACCAAGGAAAAGGATTTTGGCGTTCTTGTGCAACAGACCTGGTTGAAGCAGGATGAGTAACTCGTAACCTGAGCTACAGCAACGACATGGTACCCACCAAGCTGTGCGAGAACATCCCAGAACCAGTTGATGATGAACATGGCGTCGTCGAAGAGATGAGGGAAGAAGGCAAGGTGCGACTCTCTTTGGACTCGCCGCGCCACCCACACACTTGTGACGTGTCCTTTGCCTCGGCCGTCACACGCCTCGTCACAGCTCTTTCCTCCAACGTGGAGGGCACTCAAGATCACAACTGCTTGCAAGAGGATGTAATACAAATATATCCATTGGGTGAGATACAACATGGGAAGGTACATGGAGGATCTGCGTGAGGATGTACGGAAGTTCTGACACTCACTGCACCACAAGCCTTGTCAGTAAGAAAGGAAGCGCGAGAGCTCTTATGCCGCCGAAATATCCTTCTACGCATAACCCAATCGCCTCGTCCTGCGTGGAAGAAGTTCAAACGGACGGGCACTGTCTAAGAGGCTGCGGTTGGAAAAGTTTATTCTTCCCGAGGCCGGGTTTTTATCCACTCTTTTGTTTGCATTTGTTGTGATCCTGGAATTAGGCGCGCCTGAGAGGACAACCGATGTTGGCGGTCAATTGGCAGTATTGAAGTTAAACAATGAGCATTCCAGGATGCGAGTGAACAAAACAGTCATTAAGGAAGTCCCTCAAGCCATTCTTTGAACGAAAATAGACCAGCCGTTGAAGACTTTTCGTCCACGACCGCTCCCTCTTTCCCAATGGTAACGGATGATCCAATGAAGGTCACCTCACCACCCTCCCACTGAGCGAACTTGAACTCTCCACCACCCTCACACTCCAAACCTCCAAGTTCTGAGCTGCCTTCCTCCTCCGAACCCAAGCTCTCAACCCCGACACCTCCCGCATGTGAAGTCCTCCGCTTCTCAAGCTCGCGTTCAAGAACAGAGCGCACCCGGTTGATGGCAAGTTGCTCGGAGGACGTGCTTGCAGATGCCTTCAGCTGATCGGCTTTGTGTGCAATAATGGCAAATGCTGGTGCATTCTGTGATGGTGGGAGGGATGTGAGAGCATGCAGAATGAGGTGCAAATGCCTGTAAACACTATCAGCCTGGCTCCACGAGATACATGCGAAGTACTCACTCTGCAACTGCTGGACCGTTCCTAGAGATTGTGCTCGCGTCAACCACGAAAGCTACAGCCTTGGCATCCGGCAAGTGCTCCTGAAACTGGTCGCGAATGCGCGGATGACCAGGAACATCCGCAGCGAGTAGTGACTTCTGTGAACCAGGTAATGGTATCACAGATGTGTTGGTTTGAAGCGACGTGTGTGTAGGTAAGGTTTGACCATACAAAAGCTATTGAACATTAGAAGGGGCCTTAGTGAACTGAAGCCACAGTGCAGGGTACGGAACTCACGGAAGACAATATCGCTGTTTTACCACCATCCGAAGGGCCGACAAGAAGGAGTGTATTCCCTCTCGACTTCGATCGCTTTCTAGAGAGGCCCACGAGCACTAAAACACTGTTATAACTCTGGAACAATCGAGGGGAGGAGGCGGGACGGACATGCGACCAGTAGAACGGCGACTCCCAGGGAGGCAAAGATTAGGTTTTGAGAGGTGATCGCCGGGACTGGGGACACGACTTCGGGGGTAGGAATGGGCGTATAAGCATCACGACCGCTGATGTCTCCCATATTGTGTTGCAAGTTCGTGTAAGAGGTGAATTTCCAGTGCTAGGGGCGCGATGACAGCGTTTGTTTGCACTTATTTTGATAATTTCGAACTCAGCGAACAACCGCCCTTGGGCCACTGGCCCCGGCCACATGTACTGCAGACTCGGTCGATTTCACGCAATCCAGCTCTAACTTGATGACAACACAGATCGCTGCATTCCAGTCAGCCACAGCACCCGCTACATCAAGAAAACGCTAGCCATTAAGTCAAAAGTAGTCTACCGCAAGGCTGTCGCTGAATGAGATCCAACGCTCTAATTGGTGGCAATAGGAAAATGGAAGATCGCCTGCCCTTCACCAGGAGTGAAAAGAAGTGTAGTACCTGGGACATGCTTGCTCTTAGTTCAGTTTGCTCACAAAATAACAGCACGATTTACCTCTGATCCCCATTCTCAAGAAATCCAAACGAGCTGGTGCTGTCTCCCTCCTGATGCTCATAACCAGGAGGTAGATCAGAGCGCGGTGAAAATCCAGGGGCATTTAGAGCATGAATCTCTACCCTCTCCTTAATCAAAGGATCGGATGTTGTCGCCACAAAACCTGGAACCTTGAATGGCTGGAGTACAATCGAGTACTGGCAACAGCAGCCACGGCGATGAACACACGGCGGCCTCAGTAAAAATTCAGCACTACTTACTTTAATGGCGAAACGAGGGAAGGTGAAAGTTGGCTTCAATGCTTTCCCCAGAAGAAGCTCACCGATCAGGATCTTCTTCCCCGACACAGGCTCGCCTTCTCCTGAAGGCTTCCAAGCAACGTTGGAGCCGCTAAGATCCTGGAACCTTAAATCCGTTCGTTTACTCTTCTCGTCTTCTCGAAGGGCCTCCGCACCCAGGAATCGTTCACGAATAAGCTGGATCACGATGGAGGACGGCTGGGAAAACAGATCGAGGGCATGCTGATCAACAGACGTCAGCGTCATGTGTAGTGGTACCGGCGAGCCCACTGCAAATGAGAGCTAGCGTCGAGAGCTATGAATTAGAACTTATTGTTGGTGTATCATGTCAGTGACATACTGGCTGCGCAATAGCAAGCTATTTGTCAAAGTTCACATGAGCAACATTGTGTATTTAGTACCGGCTGTGGAGCAAGACGTACTCTGCATGTTACTGCAACTTGCTTCGTGCCAAATAGTGTGCCGGTTACGGTTATGGGAGCAAAAACCTTCCAACCTTCTGGATCCGCCTCTGGCCCCAACACATCAGTATGCTCCTGATATGCCAAATACCGCAATGGCGAGGGCGGCTCAGCGCGCGATAGCGGGATATATACGAATTGTTTTGATACGCTAGACAGACGTTAAATAGGTCAGTTTGTTCATGTGGAGATGGTACATGGCTTGAAGAAGGTACGCACCTCTGCTTTGTTTTCAATGCACTGCGTCGCAAAGTGACCTCTATCCGATAGTTAATATATACGGTCGACGCCCGTTCCGAGAACGTCGGTGGTAGGCGGGCTTGCACCATTGGGGCTTTCGGGGCATACTTCTCTGGCACTGAAACCTCCGATGGGAGTGGTATTGAGAATGGGAATGCTAACTTGCCATGGGGCTTCTGTCCGTTCAACGTCTGTGCGTCCCAGATATCCTTACTAATATCCAAAAAGGGCACCTCCTCTTCGCCCACAGTCATGATTCCGCCGTGAACCTTCAATAGAGATAAGCAAAGTCGATTTTGAAGTGATCGCATGCCAGCGATGGATCACTCCAGCTGAGAATGAAGTCTACTCACCGTCACTCGAATCCCCTTCCCTCCAGCCATCTTACTGAAGTCCACCTCGACGGTTCCTTGTACGGAATCCTTCTCGTAGTACAATGGCAGAGTTTCATCCGATGGCCTTGTAGAGCGACTCTTGAGCTTTAGCCAAAGCCATGTACCACCCTTCGTGTCGAAGGTGTAGGTTTGCTCCCCCCATACCTCTTGGCGAAGTACCGGAGACGATAGAGTATGATCTTCGTAACCAGGGAGGGCTTCACTGTGTTCGGGCATGACTGGTATTCAGACACGATTACCGGGTGACATACGAGAGTCTGTGCTTGCATTTTGTTAGTAGATGAGAAAATCGGAGGATGGTGCTCACAACCCCGGACAACCGTGTTCAAGTGGTCAATTGGTGGGATCACAGAGAGATCCATTCTCGCAGCACATGTCGAGCCCGACTCTCCATCAGGTTGTGATTTATGTTAGGCTCCCACAGTCAGCCTCTAGTCCAGGCGGAACACAGTCATTCCTCTGTGGAGACTTGCTGGTCCTATAGGTTATCAGGCTGCCTTGCTTGATGATGTGCAAAAGCAATGTGTGATATACAAGCATTAATGGGGTAGTGGTAACCTGGGTCGTTGCCATGATTCGAACGTCGTGAGTTCGACCCGCCGGGGGTTCGATTCCCCCTTAATGCATCTTTGTCGAAGTCTCGGGAGTAGATTTCTTTTTTGCCTCCCGGTGATCATCATTCCGAGTCGGCGCTTCCCTTTTTTTGCCGAATCACATTGGCTTCAACGGCGGCTTGAGCAAGTAACCTCATCCCCGCTGACTGAATGGCTGCTAAATCTCGTGTCGAGAATGTCGAAGATGACCTCCCTCTACCACCGCGCAAAAGGACTCGAGTCGATACCACCACCAGTCAAGGGTCTTCCTCAAAACTTTTCGTTCCGTTCCGTGCATTGGGCCTCATAACGAACCGTATTCCCTTCGTCCTGCAAACGCGATCTCAGAAAGGGGCGACGGACGGTCCTCGACTGCATATCTTAACATGTTTGGGGAAATCATGGGCTATGTGGGAAGGGGGAAAGATCAACCTTCTCTTTGTTGGTGAGTGAGTGCTATTCGATGCATCTTTATGTCTATTGACCAATGTATGAAACTACAATGCAGGTCCTGCCCTGCCAGATGATATTACCTCCATGGCTATGGATGGAAATGCTGTATGGGTCGCTTCTGGTCCCAACGTTGTGAAGTATCTCCGGGGGAAAGAGGTTCGCCTACAAGTTTTTGCTCGTCTCTCTTGGCCTCACTCCCTGACAGGTCGCTCGGGTGCAAAGTCCACTGTCATCCCCCTTGTCGTATATTCTGCTGTTTGGGACACAGCTACTGGCATTGTCGGAAGATGGGCAGAGAATGTTTGTTTGGGACACTAAAAGCACTGGTGCGCCGTATCACGTTTGCATGACTTATGCTGGGTATTGACGGCCCTCTACCAGAGCTCGAGAGTTCAATCCAGTTTGAAGTAGGGTTCACTGCAACGTCCATCCTACACCCGGCAACGTACCTGAATAAAGTACTCGTGGCGAGTAGTGAAGGCAAACTGCAACTATGGAACATCCGAACTCAGTCAGTTCATTCTACGTTTCTACGACTTATCATTGGCCTTATTAATCTCTTACAGAACCCGTGTTCACGCATTCCCCCCTACGTCTCTCCTCACCATCCCCGCAGGACAAGACGCACCAGCCATCACTGCTCTGACACAATCCCCGGCCATTGATGTTGTCGGGATTGGCTTTGCTTCCGGAGAAATTTCAGTGTATGATGTGCGTATGGACGAGAGGCTATTGAGGATGAAAATGCAGGATGGTGCTGTACGGGCATTGAGTTTCCGAAATGGTAAGCAATCGAGCCATGCTGCACGTTCGTCCCTTCTGATCGTTTTTCTGAAGATGGGCAGCCTATCCTTGCTTCTGCGTCGTCTGCGGGCCATATTGCGCTATGGGATTTGAGCAACGGTGGCCGTTTACTCCACGTTGTTCATGGTGCTCATGATGGCGCAGTCACCGCACTTGAGTGGGTACCTGGTCAACCTCTGCTAATCAGTTCTGGGGAGGACAACAGTGTGAAGGCACGTGAGCAGACGGTATCATTCTGGCATACTTGGCTGATACTGTGCTATGCGACTAGCAATGGGTCTTTGATTCACCGACTGCAGCACCACGTCTTCTCAAGTTCCGTTCGGGGCATCACCAACCTCCGCACCTCATCAGGTACTACGGTGAAGATGGAAAGCAGCTTTTGACTGCTTCAAATGACAGGAGCCTACGGTGCACCAGCGTTGTCCGGGATTCTCGGAGCTTTGAGCTCAGTCAAGGTGCTTTGCTATTTTGTATTCATTTGTCTATGATCCTATCCGACGTCTTAATTCCTTAGGCTCTCTCGCAAAGAAAGCCAACAAATTGTCAATACCGGTCGCGTCTCTGAAGATTCCTCCAGTCTCGGCGATCTCATATTCCAGCGCCCGGTCGAAGGATTGGGATGATATTCTCACCGCGCACGCTGACGAAGACTTCGTAAGGACGTGGACCATGAAGGATAAAAAGATTGGCAAATACTCCCTAAGCCTTTCACCAGATACAAAGAAAGGTCCACAGACGGGGTCAGCGAAGGTAATTGACCCCATCCCTTGTTGATTTTCACCCTCAATACTCACCCGTACCGAAAAGGCTGTATGGATCTCCGCCTGTGGCAACTTCGGTATCGCAGGTTCGAGCTCCGGTATTATCTACATGTACAACATGCAATCAGGTGTACGACGGAAATCGTTTGACATTGGTCCTTACCCTGCCGCTGGAACCACCACGACGAAAACACGGGCCGGGCGTTGCGTGACTGGACTCGCCAGTGACTCTCTGAACACTGTTCTCATTGCCAGCACTCAGGACGGCACAGTCAACGTGAGCGCATTTCTATCACATCACTGAGTCCCATATTGATCTTACACGCCTAACAGTTCTTCGACTTCCATACCACTGCACTAGAGCAAACCCTGCTCCTACCATCTGCTGCTATCTCATTACAGTTGCACAATAACAGTGGCCTACTTGCCGTTGTTTGTGATGATCAAGTCATTCGCGTTGTCGACATTGAGACGCGTCGGATGGTCAGAGAATTGGGCGGATTCCGAAATAAAATTCTGGATGTTGTGAGTTCTACGCACAATTCTCGATAAACAGCGTGTCTTTAACTTATTATAGGCCTTTTCAGCGGACGGACGATGGCTGGTAGCGACATCTCTTGACTCGATTATTCGGACTTTCGACATTCCTACTGGTCGTCTGATCAATGCCTTCCGCACGGCCAGTGTTGCGACAAGCATAGCTTTCTCCCCCACGAACGATTTTCTCGCTACCGCCCACGTCGATAGCGTTGGAATATATTTATGGTCAGTAAATACAGGTTCTTCGCCGCACGAATACTTCATACTGAAGCATCTGCAGGGCGAACAGAGCGCAGTATAGCGAGGTTGCCTTCCAAAGTATCTCCGACGAGGACATCGTCGACGTTGCCCTGCCATCCATGCAAGGGGAGGAAGAGGAAGAAGGTATGCCATTTATTGTCCCAAGCCCTGATCAACTTATTGATCTATTGTTGCAGCATTAGACGAACTCGCCGCGCTAACCCTCACTGAAAAAATACAAGATGTCTTTGCCACACCTGATCAACTTGACGGCGATCTTGTCACCTTGACGTTGCTACCTCGAACAAGATGGCAGACCTTGCTCAATCTGGAGGTTATCCAGGTTAGCTTCCTCTTATTACTGATAAAAACGCCCCTCTGATTCGTATGCCCTTGTAGCAACGAAATAAACCCAAGGAACCTCCCAAGCAGCCTGAAAAAGCGCCATTCTTCCTCCCCACGCTGCCCGGTGTCGAACATCGGTTTGACATTCAACAACCAGCCAAGGAGAAAGAGAAAGAGAAAAACAAACCGACGCGGCGGTTACAAAAAGCTTCGGGATCAGCTGAGAGCGTGTTTATGCAGAAACTCGCTGCTGAGGATACAGACGGCACATGTAAGAATAGAAATTCCTTCCTAAGGGTTATCAACGCTAAAAATGAGTTCTGTATTATTAGATGACGGATTCTATGACTATGTCAAGACATTGTCACCGGCTGCCATTGATCTTGAAATCCGCTCGCTCGTCACGCTGGACGCGCAACGTCTCTTCCTTACTGCACTCATCCAGCGACTTCGGTCCCACCGCGACTTCGAGGCCGTACAAACCTTCCAAAACATATTCCTTCGGATACACGGCGAAGTGTTGGTTGCGAATGAGGAGCTACTAGGAGAGTTGGAACGGTTGAGGGAGGTACAAAGGACGGAGAGCGAGAGAGTGATTGAATTGCTTGCATCGTCCTTGGGTACTTTAGCCTTTGTGCGGGATACGATCTAATTGTAGCTTATGTATGCTAATACGTAGCGCAAACTTCGTCATCGTGGTGATACTACATCTGTGTTCACTTGAGACCACAACAATTCCGGATAGGCGTCTAAACACTCTGCCGCCTCCCCTCCTGCCACCACCTCCGCCCATCCTGGATGGACCCAAATGCACCACTTGCCGTAGCAAAAGGAACTGCCATTACATGCGAGTCCGTCTTCCTTGCAGGCATTACAAGTTAGCGACGGCTGACACGTCTGACGGAACCTACAGGCTCCATTAACTCACTCATTGCAAGTGTCTACGGTACTTTCAAACGACTTCCAATTGGACCTCTTGCTGCTTCTTCAGCACTAAATGGGGGGATAGTCGGTGCTACATTTTTCAGTGCGTGTTGCGCCTTTCGTTGATTGACAGATCGAATGTCTTACTATTCGTCCCGACAGGCTTTCGTGAATACGTCGTCAGCCCACAACTACTACTAGGTGTCAAGACAGGACAATTTTTACGGAGAAAAGCAGAGCTGGATGCTGCAATTAACGGCGAAGACTATGTAGCGGAGAAAGTAGGATGGTGGGATATGCGAGCGCATAAGCTTCCGGACACTGCTCTTAGCGGTGCTCTCACTGGAGGTGTCCTGAACGCGTGGAAACGTGCGTTTTCTGCACTTCTACGTCTTATTGGTATAGATGCTTATTCCATGTAGGAGGGAGAGCAGGTATCGTCCCAGGAGCGATCACCGCCTCGCTCGTGTGCACATTCCTCCAGCTTGCTGTCAATGAATTGGGAATTACAAGACTCAAGTTCATTCAGGAGCAGCTTCAAAAGAGTCAAGCGGAAGGAGATCAGGTTGTGCAGTCGTTACCCACGGCTCAGCAATCCCAGTCACCCATCGCTGTTCCTCAGAACACCATCCAAATAGCCCCTGCTGCACCTGCCATGCCAACGTCGGAACGAATATTCGGGTGGTTCGGGTTCCAAAAGGTTTCGGATGAGGATTATCTGCGACGTCTGAAGGCAGAAAGGGAGACACATCTGAAGAGGATAGCGGAGTTGGAGAGAGAGCAGGCCGAGGGAAAGCAGTGATCCAAGATGCGAGATATTTAATTTGCACGTCTATTGCTTACACCACTACTCAATGACATAGATTGTAGTATACACTAATACTTACATGAATCATGGGACAGATATATTTGCATCGCTACTCTCGGGTTTCCATACCTCCGCGACACCCTTTGCGTCTTTTG